TAATCAGATGGAAATGGAGTCTTTGGGAGGAGTTCTGTTGTGTTAAGAGTTAAGAGACATGAATTCTGCTGTCAAGTAGTGTAGGTTGTAGGGCAAGTGATTAATTTATATGGACCTCAGTTTCTTTACTAAACAAAATAATATTTGAGGGCCAAATTAATGTTTCAAGAATCCTTTTCTTATTTATTTATTTATTTTTGGAGAGGTTTTTTGCTATGGGGCGCGTGCACTCACCAGAAAGATAGAGACGGAGAGACAGAAAGGAGAAATCACCCCCCCGGGGGAATGGCCACGCTGCAGTCCCTTCTCCTCCATTTCCCTCTCGGGATCTTGGGCATGCACACACACACGCCTGGTGTGAGTTTAAACCACTGGGCCCTGAACTCAAACCGCGGTGCACTACATGGGAGTCCAGTGACATAGCCATTATGCCATCTGCTGGTCCCTAAAGAATCCTTTTCTAAACCAAGCATTTACAAATATTCTTGTATTACAAATTTTATTAAGATGTTTTTCTGATAAGAGACACAAAAGTGCATTTGGAATTTAAATGTTTAACTTTTAATTTTTTTTTTTGAGAGGTTTTCGTATAGGGCACTGCACTCGCCAGATAGACAGAGAGAGACATAGAGACAGAAAGCGAAATCATCCCCCAGGGGGGATGGTCACGCCACAATCCCTTCTCCTCCTCCATTCTCCTCTCGGGATCTTGGGCACGCACGCACACGCGCCCGGCGTGAGTTTTAAGCCACCGGGTCCGGCATGCGAACCGCGGTCGAATACTTGGGAGTCCAGCGACAGCCATTACGCCAACTGCTGGTCCGTAACTTTTAGTATTTTGAGAATATTAATTTAATATTGAGCTATTATGTTCTAGGGAAAAGTTTCTGCTATAAGCAAATACGTTTTTTTTTTTTTTGGGGGAGAGATTTTCACTGTAGTGCGCGTGCGCTCGCCAGACAGACAGAGAGAGACATAGAGACAGAAAGCGAGAAATCACCCCCCAGGGGGGATGGTCACTCCGCAATCCCTTCTCCTCCATTCTCCTCTCCGGATCTTGGGCACGCATGCACACGCGCCAGGCGTGAGTTTTAAGCCACTGGGTCCGAGACACGAACCGTGGTTGACTACGTGGGAGTCCAGCAACATAGCCATTACACTAACTGCTGGTTCCCTAAATTTGAGTATTTTTAAAAGGCAGTTCTTTATGTCATTTAAAAAATGTTGTTTATAAAACTTCTGTTTTTTGTCCCCCCCCCCAGAGATTTTTGCCGTGGGGCACATGTGCTCACTGGAGACAGATAGCGAGAAATCATCCCCCCCACCGCCCTACCCCGGGGGGATGGCCACTCCACAAATCCCTTCTCTTCCATTCTCTTCTTGGGATCTTGGGCACACACATACATGTACCCACTGTGAATTTAAGCCACCAGGACTCGAACCACAGTCGACTACATGGGAGTCCAGTGACATAGCCATTACGTCTGCTGGTCCTCAAGCTTGTTTTTTATTAGTGTGATTAGTCCTTAGAAAATACCTTGTTTCTTTAAAAAAAAAGTTATTTAATTTTACTTATTTATTATTATTCTTCAGTTTGACCTGAGAGTGAGAGAGAGAAAGCAAGCTGCCAGGTCTGGGACTCAGACTGTGGTCGGCCATGTGGGAGTCCAGCGCCTTAACCACCATGCCTCCTGCCAACCCCAGAATATACCTTTTAAAGCATATTTTTCAGAGTTGTCAGTTTATTGCCTTTTTTACATAGCAGTTATTATGATAAATGTATCAGCATTATGGTATCTTTTTGGGGGGAACTGCTGTTTTCTGCATTGTTTTGTTTAAGCACTTTGTGATCTTCTAAAAATTTGTTTATAACCTTAATTTGGTATTGTGGCTTCAGCTTAGATTGCCCTGTCTCTCACGGAGTCATTTACAAAATTTGGTTTTATAAAATGCTTGTTTAATTTTAATAGTTAAATAATAGCTACCATTTATTGAGCATTTACTCTGTGCAGGTGTGATCTTATTAGTCTCTGAGGTTTAAACTGTTATTCCTATTTGGCAGCATAAAAACTAAGGTTCAAAGGGCTGGCAGGTGGCGTGGTGGGTTAAAGATGCTGGATTCCCACATGGCTGACCGTGGTTTGAGTCCTGGACCTGGTGACTTGCTTTCTCACTTTCCCTCTCTCTCTCTCTCTCACTCTGTCCCTCTCTGGTCAAATTAAAATAAATACATAAATAACAGATTGTTGGGAAAGTCATGATGCATTTTTTTCATTTTTCTATGCAAAAATGTATCATGACTTTCCTGACATACTTTCAT